AGCGGGAAGTGGTGGCACATGTCTATAATTGTAGCACTTGAAAGGCTGAGGCAGGAGGATCTTTGTGAGTTTAAGGCCAGCCTGAACTACATATCGAGACCCTGTTTCAAAAAACTTAAAAACCGGGCCCAAGGAGATAGCTTAGTAGCATAAGCGCTTGCCTGGCAAGCGCAGGCTCCTTAGTCAATCCCCAGTACCGCAACAAAACAAAACAAAACAAAACTTAGAAACTAACTAAATAGACCTATTATGGATAATCAGGAATATGAAATGTGGGAAGATACTCAGAAGGCCTTCCTAAAATATGCACCTCAATTTTCTCATTCAGAATCAAACTGATGGCTGAAGGCGAACTGAAAGATATGGAGCAGTTTTTTGATGATCTCACAGATTCCTTCTCTGGCACTGAACCAGAGGTCCACAAAACAAGCGTAGTAGGTATGAAACTTGGAGGAGTGCGGCTGTGGCCCTCGGCAAGAGGAGCGTCCTCGGTGCCGCTTTGTGTCCCCTGTGGTTTGTGCTTTCTGCTGTGCTGTATTGGTGTGTGCTGAAGAGTAATGAGCCTGTGGCGAAGGGTCTGCCTTCTGTTCTGTCTGCAGTGTCAGAGCCTGAGTGCCCTGGGGTCCTTGGGGTCCCCAGTTCTTCCTCTCAGTTCTCTGGGTCACTTGCCTGCACCGTGTCTCTGTGAGTGTGTGCCACCACCCAAACTCAGGGCAGCACAGCACTGTCACAGTGTTCAGTGGCCGCACTAGTGCTGCTTCTCCGGGGCTTCTCGGGTAGCTCTGGACGCGTGCTCCTTCCCTTTGGTTTTCTTCACTTCGGTGTGCAGGTGGGCGCGGGCCGGCTTTCCCTCCCAGTGCTGGTGGGGGAGCCATGTGGTCAAAAGTAGGTAAGATCATTTCAGACGGGACAGCCATGAAGAAAGTAAAATAGAGGCATGCAAGGGGTGGGTGGGGCGCAGGGGCTGCACTGAGCCCTACGTGGAAGCTTTGCCTGGGCCGAGGGAGGAGCTTGCCAGGAGGGGGCCAGTGTCTTGGGCGCCTGTGATTCCTTCAGAGGAAGCGTTGTCGCTACCCTGCCGAGGGCCGGGTTTCCTGAGCCCTCTTGCTCCTGGTCTCCCCTCCAGGTTTGTTTCTGCGCCACATGATCCTGGCCTACAGCAAGCTGTCCTTCAGCCAGGTGTTCAAGCTCTATACCGCCCTGCAGCGGTACTTCCAGAATGGGGAGAAGAAGCCGGCAGACGACGCAGATGCCGAGATGGAACCAGCTGGCAGGGAGGAGGAGGAGGAAAAGAAAATGGAGAAAGAGGAGCTGGACGTGTCCGTGAGGTAACTTGGGGCTCCCAGCAGGGAGAATTTCAAGGCAGTGAGGCCTTGCCCACTCAGTTCCAATGTTGTCCCCGGATCCAGGAGGTTGACACACGTGTGCTGCCTCCGTGGGTCCTATGCCCTCTCGAGTGGCCCTGGTAGGTGGGGAAGCTAAGCCGCAGACAGGAGCGTGAGGCCAGGCAGCTGTGGGGGCCTCGCATCTGTCAGTGGCCCCCTCGGTGCTCCTTGGGGATCTGGTGACTTGGAGAACGCTTCCCAGGCTGAGTGGTGGAGGTGCACAGTGCCCCTGCTGCAGAATGAGGTCCTCGGGCCCCCAGCTCTCCCAGTTGGAGTGCCTTCTGCTCCTCAGGCCTCGCTGATGGCTCCTGATGTGGGCGGTCACAGTCGGCTCAGCTAGAGATGCTGGGAGCAGGCGCTGGGCTTGAGGCTCGCCTGCTGTTCGAAACTGGGACCTAGGGATCCTGTGCACATTTAGTCTAGAGGTTCTTTTTTTTAGAAAATAGTGTGCCTTTAGTAAACTAAATTTTGTCCTGAGAATTAGTGAAATGTATTATTTGAATGAATATGTTAGACGTCTTTGTAGTTGGCCGGGAGATCGCTCAGTAGAATAAGTACTTGCCTGGCAAGCACAAGAATCTGAGTTCAATCCCCAGTTCCACCAAAAAAAGAAAAAGGAAATTAGTTTGGTAGAGGTTTTTTTGTTGTTGTTCTTTTGGGGGGGTAGGAGGCAGGGTTTCATTATGCTGCTGAGGGTGGCCTTGAACTCACTTAGGCTGGCCTGGAACACGCAGTGATCCTCCACCTCAGCCTCTCGAGTGCTGAGACTCCAGGCGTGCATCACTGTGCCTGGGCTGCTAGAGGTTTTTTTAAAAAAATTTCCTTACATATATTTCCATGTTTTTTTACTTTTTTATTTTTTACACATTGGAAAGGAGTTTGAATTTTTTCCTTTTTGTGGCTTTTCTTTTTTCTTTTAAGACAGGGTCTCACTATATAGTGTAGGCTGGCCTTGAACTCATGGCCATCCTCCTGCCTCAGCCTCCCAAGTTTTGGGATTGCAGGCGTACACCGTCATGCCCAGCTGTGGGTTTTATTTGTGTGTGTGTGCTGGACATCGACCCTGTGGCCTCACACGCGTTGGGTAGCTGCTCCTACCCGCCAGCCCCAGCCTCAGCTGGCTTCTGACGTTGCCTTGCATGATGACAAAGCCCTCCCTCCGGCCTCTCCTGTCTTTTTCCTCTTGTGGTTATTGGAATGTTCTGAGCTCTCTTCAGGGAGATTATTCTTCTTGCCCTAGAAATTCGTATGCAAGTTAGGAAGCAGAAACTATGCACGCTGGAGGATATTGCATGGCATAACTTGCAAACATCCTGTCCCACGATGAAACTGAAATTATTCCTGGTTGAAAATGAGAACCCAGCTGTTAATTTAGAAGATAGAGAATATTCAGGCAATTAATGTTTATTGAGTGTTTTTCAAAAATCTAATTACAGAAGAGACAAACTGATTTAGCGTCAGTATTGGCTGACTGTTGCCAGGCAGTAGTGTTTGTGTCCCTCGGGGAGCAGAGGCTGGAGGGTCACAGCAGCAAGCTGTCCTTGGGGACCGCGTCCTCCCTGGCTTCCGGTACGCTCAGAGTGTACTTCCTCACTTGCCAGTGGTTTCATACCGGTCTCCCACATGTGCTCGTGTTGCCCACAGGTGCTCACTGAGTGTGTCCTGGGTGATGCTGGGGGTGTGTGTGCAGTAGGGGCACGGTCCCTGTCCCTGCGGCATTCTGCAGAATGGACTGTGGGTGTCAGTGCAGCATGGCAGGGACAAGACACAGGCTGGAGTCTGCAGGAGGGCGCTTGCAGATGGCATGGGTGCTGCTGAGCCAGCGCTGGGCAGAGGCTAGACACAGACCAGCTGGGATGTGAGAGGGACACAGCTGGGGCAGTGTGGCCTTTGCAAGGGGCTGAGGGAGCGGGCAGGACCAGGCCCTACATCCTCAGGGTGACTTCATCCTTCTCCCCTGCTCCTGTCCTGTACCCTGGGGCTTTGTTTCTACCTCTCTACTTTGCCTTTCATCCCAGCCAGCTTGGTCCTCATTGGTATTTACCTTGGTAGTTTAAATGCTTTGGGGGAGTGTTCAGATTCCTCATGAGAATCTAGTGGATGCCAGGCACTACCTCTTTTTTTTTTTTTTTTTTTGAACCGGGGATTGAACTCAGATCCTTGCGTTTGCCAGTCAAGCGCTTATCCTACTGAGCCATCTCCCCGGCCCCCAGGCACTACCTCTTGATTAAAATGTG